AATATATATATATATATATATATATATATATCAATAGGAGGAACATAACATAGATATTATAGATATAATACATAAGAGAGAGAAAAAAAAAATGTAAATATAACTTACTTATTGTAAATTTTTTTATGTAAGCTATTCAATGTCATGCATTTTACACATTTTGCATTTATAGTTTGTAACTGTGATATTACGTAAATTATGTATAAACTATGTATACTTATACGCCGACTATTTTTATAGTTTTTCTGAAAAGTTGTTGTAGCTTGGTTTAGTCTCTGTTTTGCTTCATATTTTGTTTTATATTTTATATATGTCTAACGAATGGTATGTAAAAATAATGATAAAATAAAATATAATTTCTTAAACGGAAGAGTGACATAAATCGATATCTCTTCCGTGTATAATTGTTTCAACATGATGAAGAATTAGGTATTCTTCTCTTTACGGAATTTTCTGTATGAAAGAGTAGTAGTTTTGTTTTTCCAAGAATCCACGAAAGCGAAAAATGGATTGCATCAGTATTCTATGCAACAGTTCAAAAATTCATAATGTTATATAATATTCTCCAACTTTGATTAATATTTGCTTAAAATCTCCCATGAGAAACAGGAACAGTGTAATGACATTCTGCAGATACTTTGTTCTGTGGAATTTTCAATTCCATATAATAGCATTAAACTTATAATGAAAGAAAGCTCAGTAGTTCACTATGATTATCGATAATAAAAGAAATTTTCCCGCAAGCGATCAACCAATTGTACCTTTAATGCTATATATTTACGCAAAGAAAGATTTCTACTTTTAATATAATTTGATAAAATAATATTTTCTTTTTTTATCTATTTATATATATATTGGTTTGTAACGTAACGTAAAATAAAAATCTAAACCTTATTTTTAAATTTGTAAAATTTTTACATTTTTTTTTTATATAACTATCATAAATTTTAAATAAATATGATCTATCATAAATATGATCTATCTTATATCATTTGATTAGCCAACTAAATTGGTTTTAAATTATATTAAAATATATGAACATAAAAAAACAAAATTTTTGTATTATATGACAATTTGTATATTTGTAATTTGTAGTAGTCTGTTGTAAATTAAAAGAAATGAAACTTGCGTTTTGTATATGAAATAAATTATGAGTAATTATTGAATTAATTAACCATCATCAGTTTGGATTGAATTATCCGACAGTTAATAACAGAGTCGATGATTTATAAGATATAAGTGATAACAATCTAATTAGACAACAATAACGGACGGTAAGATAAGATGAGATAAGACAGAAGATAAGATAGAATAAGATGATAAGAATATAATGATTCATTTTACTGGCATGTAAAACATTTTAATTATACGAATACAAGATTTTCGTGTAACGAAGCATGCTTGTAAATGATTACGAATCTTTTATGTGAAATCTAGAAAATTGTTTTTCTATAATTTTTAAAAATCGCTGTCTAATTGGATGTAAGAAAATAGAGAAAGGCAAAATTTCATAAAATAAAATCGCGATTTTCGTTTAAATTTGTATGCTACGACGACAATTAGTTTGTTATAACGCGCGAGATTATTATTATTATTTCTATCGAGGACAAGATCATCTCTGCTCGAATGGAAGCGATTATACCATATTATGTGAGAGGAAGTCGCTCTTATCAGAATGAGAGATTGCGTATCTACAATACATGTATGTTCACGTACGTTGTCACGATCGTTGTCGAAATCCGTTTAATCATGCAAATATATATCTGTTTTTATGCTTTTACGTCAGAATAAATCACATCCGACCTATTCCTTATTGATAAATTCATTCGTGTACAATATCCGAAAATAATCTCGGCCGTCATTTCATTCCAAGTATTGGGACATCGCGGAGATTATTCAAAAACGCTATGACATTTTTACTTGTTGGATACGAATTTAAATTCTAATTTCAGCTATTTTATTTAGCTACGTAGCTACATAAATAGATATACATATGTCATTAAATTAATTCTAATTAATTAAAATTAAATTACACATGATGAAATTAAAATTTTTTTTTTATTGTCATTTATTAATTCAATATTTTTATATTACAAAGAAACATCCCCCCAGGCTGCAAATATTATTGTTTGTTGCGCTATCTTGTTTCTAATAAATGATATTTCTTGCAGGCCCAGTCGGACGACGACGATGTGGCGGACGATGTGTCCGTCAACGTCGGGGCGCCGGATGACTTCATGACGGAATTTTTCGCGGAGGTGAGTGACGAACTAATTTGTTGCACTACAGCACTTTCATTTCCGCGATCGAAAGTACGAAAGAATACACCGACAATCGAAAGTAGGTTAAACCAGTATCAGCAAGATTATATCGCTCTTAACGAGGACAATGCATAGTGCCTTCCCCCTCCCCCCCCCCCGCCCCCTCTCCCCTCCGCTTCTTTCCATCCAGATATGAATATCGCAGGATAACACAAAAGAACGCTCGTATTATAAAATTTAATAACTCGAGCGAAACAGCATTTCGCAAAAATTCCGGAAAGTCGGAATCTTTGCACGGCTAAGGCTTTCGTATTTTATCGATCGCAAACGGCTCGCAAACTCTTCCCTGTTTCTACGGTAAAATGTTTTCGCAAGTGCCCACCTGCTCCGGGAAGCGAGATGCAGCTTTCTCGTAGATCGCGCGATGATCTTTTTTCTTTCGAACGTAAATTTTATGGTCCACTGTCACTGTATTTCTCATTTGCGATTTACTAAAGCGAAATCTTTAAAGAGCATCGACGCCCGTCCGCATCACGCGTCAATCGTGTCGCTTCGTCGGCTTATGCGGGAATTACCGGCGAAATCGTAAACACGCGTTTCACGTCGAAAGTGGCCGTTGTATCACACGTTAGATAACATATATATTTTCCCGGATGATTATAAATTGTAAATTATTAGATTTCGAGGACCGTCGAGGTCGACGGTCGTCGTGCAGAAAATTGATCAATTTTTGCGTCACGTTAATTTCACACAAATATTCGCTATTTTCAGAATTAAATATGTTTGCAAAATACCGCGCGTGTTTTGCAAAAATAGAAAATAGCATCCAATTTGATTTAATAGCGCAATGAGCGCATGATATTCCTCGGTGTACTCACGACTTTTGTCATGCATGCGATAATAACCCATTCTTCCCTCTCCGTCTTTCGAAAAAGTTTCCTTATCTGATATGTTTCTCTCTCGCGAGCTTGTGATTTGTTGTCACAGATAAGAAATGTCACTCGGCATACAGAATCACCTGTACTATCGCGTAATAAGAATGCCGTTTCATTTCTCTTTCATTTCTAAAAAAAGAAAAATCGGAAAACGATAAGGGAAATATCGTCGTTCTAATTAATCGTGCGCTTTTATTATTAGATATTAGATTCGAGAGAGAAGAATTAAACACGTACGTTTTTACAAATTTACATTTATCTCGCTGACTCTTTTCCGAGGGACATGTCCATATTACGGCAGATAAATTATAAGAACATGGATGAAAGGAGGAGCCCGATTAAAAGAAGGATTATTCAACAAATTGTAAGAAAGATTAATCACGCGGATACACTTTTCTTCGGAAAACTACTTCATATTTTCGAAGTGGATTGGTTCCCCTTCATTTATATGCATACGACCCATTTATGGACATCTGCTTGAAAATGCGAAGTAAAAGATAATTTCCTGCGAAATGTAAAGAGATGCGTTTTTTTTTTTCCTTTGCGTTTCCTTACGCAAATGTTTCTACATCCACTTTCCGTTAAAAGCATTCGCTTCTTGTCCGTTGCGCAACCCCTTACGCTCATCTGCGGTTTTCCCCGATATATCGAGCAATTTCCGTTGCCCCGTAATTTCGCAACAGTGGCTGGGTGTAATTAATTAAAAGTTGCCCCGATATCCGTTTGAATTTTAACGAATTTCTCACGTTAACGACCACGCTCGCGACGTCGATTGCGTCGATTAAAGACGAAGGGAGATGGTGAAGCGCCAAGATAACGGCGCGGCTATAATTATCCCGTACAATTTCGCTCGTCGGGTGGTTGGGTAATAATTATCGCGAACGGCGCGCCATTTCTCACGCGGTTGTTTCGCCGACATTCGCGGTTGCGTGCGTTTGACGTTTACGAGGGTCCCCGGGTTTCTAACCGGCGGAAAACACAACGCTCGCGAAATCCACTGCTCCGTCCGTGGCAGAGGCGGGCGGAGGGCGGAGGGCGGAGGGAGGAGGGTGGTGCCGCGGACGTCGGATTCGAGCGCGGTCGAATACGCGCGCGATGCGATCGTCGTCGGGCCGCGGACAATTCAAATGCAGATGTGACTTGCGGAGCGAGAACCCAAGTAGCATTATACCGAGTGTTTTTGTTGATAAGCGTTACATGAACCGCCACTGTCATCGTGCTTCGCGTTACATGAACAGAGATTGTTGTCTCAAATCACGACTCGGATCAGACGTTTGTAACGGTTGTGCGGTGCAACGAGCACATGAGATACACGAGATGATGCTGCAGAAATTTAAATTATTTTATCGATTTCTGACTTGTAAAGTGACGTTTGATAAAACGACTAATTCTTAAAATTAATTAGATTAATTTTACAAAATTAATTCTATATATATGTATATATATTAATTTTATAGATATTATTAATTTATATATATATATATATATATATAAGTTAATAATATCTAGATAAAATTAATTATATCTGCATATATTTTTTTGACTAGATATTTGTGATTTACTCAGATCAATATTTTACTAGGGTCGTTAAATTTCAAAGTTCCATATAAAAAATATCAATCTAAATAACTCAAATTAAATAAAATAACAAAAGTCGATGATGGATGATCCCTGAGAATATTTGCAGTAGAAAATTCTACGCGAACAGAGATTTAATTCAGCTTTGTCATGGAATAAATCGGTTCGCGATGTTAATTCCGCGCGTTTGTTGTATTAAATATCATCATTATACTTTCAAATCGCTCGCAACAATCGTATTGTTGTCGCTTGTTGTTTCAGCTTGATACTGCTTTGTATATATATATATCGGTAAATATACACATACAGTAAGGCGTTATTTAATTCTCTAACAATGCCCGTGTTCACATAGAAGCTCTTACTCAAACGTGTTCTTACGTATCTGCCGCCGAGATTTATTGCACTAGTTTCTACTGACGCAGGTTCTGTATGGATTTTACTCATACGGCATATGGCGTTAACAAAATTTATCGTACCAATTCGCTCTATACGAGAGAAACTATTACGACTGTTCTCTGAATTGAAAAATTTCCGGGCCATCTATTTATAAATCTTTTAAAAGAGATGAGAGAAAAAATGTAATAAAAAAATGTAAAAAAAAAAAAAAGAAAAATGAGCACGAACCGGATCGTTAAATATGCTATCGTATAATAAATGCTCGTCGTCCATGCGACAATTTTGCGACAAATCGTCGGAACGGTCATTACGCGTCGATGAATAATTCGTGATTCGTTCGACGTGTAACGGCCGCCACGTATTTATATTACTAATAAAGCCATAACGGTGTGATGGTCCGGCGGTAAAATTTCAACGCCGATCGCTGGCGACATATAGAAGAACGTCACAAAAATTCTCTGTGCTACTGTTGTAATATTTTCTAGCAGGTCGAAAGAATCTTCGCAAAGAGAAGCCATTGCGTTGATGCATGTAAATGGATGGTCATAAAAAAAAACGCGCGGAAAGCTTGCGCCAAGTTAGATTGATTTTTACCGCGTTCCGTCGTCATTCCGCTACCCCGTTTTATTTCGCATCTTTATTCCCTGATATTTTCCCGCAAGAGCTCCATCACCTGGGATTTCCGTGTTATTTTCCTGTTACAGCGTCGAGTCCGTGTGACATTTATTTTATTATTGTTATTCTCATTACTCTTATCTTTTTGTTTTATATTTCGAAAAAGTTAATGAATCACCATGAAATTTTGCGCGCAACGTTTCCCAACGAGTCATAATGAAATTTTAGCGAAAATTGTTACGCGTTTTCCCTCTTTTTTTATCTCGGAAGAGAAAAATACATCATCTTATTTATTTCTTTATTTATTTACAATAATTTCTTTGCAAATTAATATTTCTGATTATTCAGCAATGAATAACTAGAAAAATGTTTTATAAGCACTTTTATAAGATCTCTTATAAAATTTAGTCACGCCAGTTGTATTTTCGAAGACGTCATGACATGCGTAAATAGAAATTTATATCAAGTAAACTTTGTCGTCCTAGGTCGTTGATATAAAAGATTTCAATAATTTTTAGTATCTTTATATCAATGTTTATACCTTGATGTGTCGATAGAAGAAAGAAGTGAAGCGCTCGATTTAGATTCTAATCGAAATTGTTATAAATTTCATCGAAATGTTTCACATATTTCTGCAATTATTCCTCTAAATCAAAACTTTCGTCCTCTTAGAGCGAAATCGATTAAGGTTTAAGTTTCTATCAACCCGTGCGATACGAGGAGCGATAATTATATTTAAGTATTAAGTATAAACTCTGTAGACGCAGAATTCCTTCGCGCGTGCAATCGCAAGCCTATTATCATCCTTGCGAGCATTTAATATTCTCTGTTTTCGTAAATTTCGCGAGCGCACTAAAACTTACGCATAGGCGCAGGCTCGCGAAATAAACTTCCGAATTCTTCGGTCTTTAGAACCTGAAAATTAGATATCTTTTTCATCAGTAAATTTCGACCGTAAGTATAAGTCTCGAAAATTCTAATCTTAAAACATGAAAAATACGTGTTTGAAAATTACTAAATAATTCCGTACTCATTTTGCACCCCTTATCCAACATTATTTCCAATTGTCGATTTCTTGTTTAATGTTTAACTTTTAGACTCTCAAGTCTTTTGATAATTTAAATAAATGTTTTAATCCTAATTTTTGTAACAGAAGTTTAAAATTTATAACTTTTTATATAAGTTGTCGAATGTAAATTTGTAAACTTGTTGAGTGAATAATACTTTAATTAAAGTATATGGCAATTATCAAGGCATACAATAAATGCCATATATCGCGTTAACGTTGCTCGAGGAAACATACATAGGTAATAATTCATATTTTCATACTACTCATTATCACATTAACAAAACATTATTTTGCGTAGCGTGATAATTAATACTTGTACACTGATCATTTATCAACAATGAAAACATAGTATATGTAATGCGATAAAATAATATACCATATCTTGCGAACACGTGGAAACATCTTAATCTCTCTTTCTATTTTTAAATTCTATGAGAGACGTAAGATTGAGAGTCTCACACACATCGGGGAAATTTCGTTCCAAAGGGCGACGCAAAAAATATCGATCTGAGGGGGTTAACGCGAAATCGATACGCAGACGTGCCGCCGCGATATATCGCGCGCGTTTCGAGTATGCCGAAATGTGTCGTCGTAGCAGCCATTAGGCTATCCGTTCTACGAAGCTCGCGTTCGTGCGCCCTGTATGTAAACGCGATGCAGTCTATGCACTATGCAGTTGTAAGGCATGGAGGGGGGGGGGATAGTCGTAACGGGAAGCACCCCGAATAGGCGAGCCACACGGGCGTGCAATCGAGCGGGATGAAAATGGCGCGCTTACGAGAATGCGCACCGCGAGTGATGCAGGATGGCACTAACGAGACACGTTCCTATCCACGAAACAATGTACATTTTGTGTGTCGAGCGGAGGGGGAGGGAGGGGGGTCGTTACGACGAAAAAGTTCTTGACGGGATGTCATCCTTCGATATCGATCACCTATCCTGTTATCGTTTACCGTTTACGGTTATCCTTCAACAAGATCCACACGAGTCTTTTTATACGCGATACGAGCAGCTTCAAGATAGACGCGATGATTTTTTTTGTTAAACTTGTTACTTTATTGTGAAAAATGTAGCTTCATTGAATTTGATCTCATTAATCTTTATAT